AGGACAGGTTAGGTTAGGTTAGGACAGGTTATGTTAGGTTGTGTAAATTCTAGATATTGTTCAGTGATGTGAGGTTAGGTTAAATCAGGTTAGGACAGGTTAGGTTAGTTTTGATCAGGTTAGGTTAGGTTAGGTTAGGTTAGGTTAGGACAGGTTAGGTTAGTTTTGATCAGGTTAGGTTAGGTTAACACTGGATATTGTTTTAGTAAGGATCGCTTAGATTATGTCAAAGCTACGCATGTGAACCTTATAGTAAAGAGAAGGTATAAAACGAATGACTAATATCTGGTTAATGACTTATCTCAGGTAAAGTAGTCGGTAAGAATGAATGTTTGTCTGACTTTAAATCTAACCTTTAACCTAACCTAACCTGACCTGACCTGACCTGACCTGCCTCAATCCTAACCTGACCTGACCTGACCTAACCTAACCTAACCTGCCCTGCCTCAATCCTAACCTGACCTGACCTGCCTCAATCCTAACCTAACCTAACCTGACCTGACCTGCCTCAATCCTAAACTGACCTAACCTGACCTGACCTAACCACCATACCCCACACTAATGTCTCCGAACAACAGCCACAGGACGAATCATAGTGAAACCTCTATATAACGTACTCATCTCTCTGTATATCCCGTTAGATGGGGGGTTTCACTATACTAACTATAAGAAGGTGATCAAGAAATTACCTTTGGTGATTTAAATGACTCGAAATTACTGGAATAAATTAATGTCTCAGGGTTCTATATTTTCTAGTCTAATTTTTACCTATTTTGATGCACTGACAGATGCACTAACACTTAACTATATCGCGAACCATGTCATTATCACCTTCTATAAATCGTAAGCATTCTGTATAGTCATTATCTTCTGTAGTCATAATTATCCTGTGTTATTATGTCCCACAGCTGCTAAAGATAACGGCTACAGAGAGCAACAGAGACCAGACTAGACAGGTTATATTACCTAATCCATTAAAACAGCCATGGCTCGATGCAGGGTTATTTGCAGTCGATAATGTTACAAGTTTTGGGGGAAGTCTGGTGTTGGTCGGCTGTGTTTATTGTTCCACACTCCCGCGATATTACGCTCACTGTGTCTCGTGGCCGGAAATTTGTGGTGGAAGTTGTGGGGGGCGAGATAAAGTTTGACCAGAGTGTTAGTTAAGACTTGGGGGTTAAATTACATTAGTGAGTATTTTTCCGAAGTTGGAGGCGACGTAAGTATATTAAAATCATACCCCTTCCCCTATTGTTTTATTTTTAGTAAATGAGGTTGTTGGAAATTAAAACTGCCCGAAAAGAGGCATTACAGTCAGTAATCGGCCTGTTGGTCTTGATGTAGGGTCTCTGTACGTGGCTGGTAGTGGCAGCTGGAGACCAGAGCACTAACAGGTATGTGCTGCACCCGATAGGAGGCATTGGTTGAGGTGGTTGGTACTGGTCCGCTAAGTCAGTTAAGATAAGGTCAAAGGTGATTTGACCGTGTGTAGGGAAGATCACAGCTTGTAACAGTAGCAGCTGGTCCTCGATATGTGGTGTCAATTTCGTTATAGTCCTCGCACATGGGTACCTGAGGTAGTCTGAAGTGGTAATGAGGTGATTGATAAGAGTGCCTCTAGTGGGTGAGCGAGGCGGATGGTATGCCACACAGAATACTTATGATGGAGGCAGTGTGGCAAGGATGAGCGCATGGCACAACGCATACCCATAATGCCTCCATATCAAGCCGCGGCGGACGTAATTTGTCCTGACAGAAGAGTCCAACGCCCCCACCTCGTTCATTTGTGGCAGGTCTCAGGAAAAAAAATTGCCACGTTCACAGATGGCAACACCGTCAACTGTGATTAACCTGACTATGGTGGAGAGTTCATCAAATTTGTTGGCGAGGGAGGTGACGTTGGTGTGTGTGTGTGTGTGGACCTCTTAAAACAATACCATGACACACGCACACTCTGAACCTACCATCTCACAGACTCACACAATGTTATAGTCTGACCACACGCCCACGTGCAGTTAACACTATCTCGTAAAACACACCTTGATGATCATATCCTTCAGTCACACACTAAAGTAATTCTAGTGATACACTCATACACCTTTTACATATTTATACATACCTGCGACGAATAAATACACCCGTAATCCGAGACTTATGTATACACCTGTGACACACATACCTGACACATTTATATACCTGTGATATACATATACAAGTATACATCTGTGACACATTTATACAGTCTATTTCGAAACACATTCCCATCTTGGATTTATGTCACTGCACCTACGTTACCTGGGAGGGAAGGGTCGGGTCGGGTCGGGTCGGGTCGGGTCGGGTCGGGTCGGGTCGGGTTTTTAATCATCACTTGAAATAAGGGGAGGTGCCTAATCTTCCGGCAGCTTATCAAACCATAACAAAAATTTCCTGATCTATGTCGTTGCTCGTGGTAAATTTGCGAGATACTTTAGAAGATGTCTCTCGCAAGTAAACCAAGAGATATTTACAAAGACAATGGTACAAAAACACAGTCTCCCATTCGGTTTAAAATAAAAACATCTATAAATTACACTGGTGCTGAGCCTCTAGATAAAGTTGAACACAGTTTCGTTTGGTTGAACAAGTACGATTAATCTTGTAAAGAGCAACACCAGTGAGGAAATAAGTTTGAGCCGTCAGTGAGTGAGTGATCGAGAGGGAGGGTGATAGGGAGTGAGTGAGTGGGTTAGACAGAGGGAGTGAGTGAGTGGGTTAGAGAGAGAGAGGGAGTGATGAGAGGGTTAGAGAGAGGGAGTGAGAGTAATCGTATGCAACACAGTCATCTATCTGTATCACGCCAGTAACACCCCTCATCCACCACACCCCTACCCACAGACAACTTCATCCACCACACCCCTACCCACAGACAACCTCATCCACCACACCCCCCTCATCCACAACACCCCTCATCCACCACACCCCGACCCACAACACCCCTACCCACACCCCTCACCACACCCCTCCACACACCCTCCCCATCCACCACTGACCCACACACAACCCGCCTCAGATGTTTTATGACTAAAATTTCACACACACACACACACACACACACACACACACACGTTTCACATCTAACTAGAAATTCCACCTCGTGTTTACGCCACAATTCTCCCCGCCAAGGTAGTTCATATTTCACAACAAGCAAAGTTCCTCCCCACTTAGGATACACACTGTCGGAGATGTGGGGGGTAAGCCACTATCTTATCTTATCTCTCTCATAAACCGTGTGGGTACAGAGCGCCCGTCAGCTACAGAATGGTTGGCTGGGGTGCGTGACCTTTCTAATACTGACAACATCAACCAAGCAATTATAATCTAACATAATGACCCTAAATTGGTTAGGTTAGGTCATGTGAGGTTAATCTAGAGGTTAAATAAACTGGGTTGGAGATTCTTCGTTATTCATTTTTTTTTAATGCAAGACAAAAAACTGTGTTCAATTTCACAAAGGATAATACGATAAATATCTCTACTAAGTGAAAAAAAAACACGCTTAACTGGATGAATGAAAGTGTAATTAACGTAGACAAAATAACCAGTCTAATTACACAGACTATATTCACTACATTTTTTTAACTCGACACAACTTGATGGACAAAATTAGCATAAAAAAAAACTTTGGAAAGATTCTGCATGTTAACACTGCTACAAAGTTATTATTATATTGTCATTAAAGTATTAAATTACAGGTATGTAATTAAGGTAAAGTCTCAGGTGTAATTATATCGTTATTTTTTATGTAATTTTGGTTTTTTTGTTTAAATTAATGAGTTACTTGGATTCATCTTCACCAAACCTAACCTAACCCATCTCCTAAGTTAATACACAAATTATAGTTATTATTATACGTTTTAAGTTAAAGGGAAAAACGAGCTATATGTAACGAGTCCTCCCGCTGTGTAAACTTTTGTAATTTATGTTGTCTAAAAAAAATGGGGTAAAATTTGCTGAGAACTTTTTTTAGTGTGTGTGTGTGTGTGTGTGTGTGTGTGTGTGTGTGTGTGTGTAAGAGAGATACAGACGTTGACCTTGTAGTCCTCTCACTGTGCTATGCCTTCTACAAACAAGCAAAAAAAAACTGAAACAAACAAAGAAATAAATTAAACAAACACCCAATATCCTGATCGACAAATTGTACCCCAGGTCGGTCATGTACCCTGAGTGGGGCGCGCACCTGCACTTACATCACCGCGTGTTTGGCTGCTCAACAATCAGAATACCGTCCTCATGTCCGAAGGTTGGTGACTGACTACAGACCTCCACTCATAAACTTGGAACAAATCACCGTGTGCCATAAATTAATACGTCGCTACATCACCCATAACCATTCATTCATAAACAGTGATGCTACTATTGCGACGTTGCCGTTTGTAGACACGGGTTACCACAGGGGGTGTAGGAACGCATTTCCACAACTATAACCAACAAGACTTATGGCTACGTTTTCTATGACAAGAATGTGTTCCTGGTGTTGTAATTTAGATATTTTAAAATGAATTAATTGAACGTTTTCTGTGTTTTATCCACACCATTTTATCAGGTGAGAAACTTCCATTTATTCTTCTTTTCATGTTTGTATTTTTTCTCATTTTCTGGGAGTTTTGTGGAGCCTAAAGTAAGCTTCTGACTATCTCATTACCATCTCATTTTCCAGCATCACCCAACCTTTGATAGCTGATAAACATTTACAAAGTAACTCTTTTAGACCTCGAGGTGTTTACTGGACCAGTGACCAGGAGAGACAAGTGAAGGTCATCCTGTCATCTGTCAATCTAACTTTTCTCTGTAACAACCAGGTAGGTGAAAAGTCAAAGTTAACTCAAAATAGATAACCTCAACGCTGCTCAATAAATACGCTATCGAACCCAAGACTTCAGTAGCACCAGTTAACTCCAGTTACCAGTATGTCATCATGGTTTACGAATTAATGGAATTATTATTTTGTTTTTTACTTACAGTGGTGAGAGGTAACGACACGACCAAGCCAGACAAGACGACCACGGGGGTAGAACAGAGCTTAAGCTATAGCCGGCAAAAGGAGCAACAACGACAACAGATGAAGGGGCTGGCTAGTATAAGTCTCGGGCAGGTGAAGGGGCTAGCTAGTATGAGTGACGGGCAGGTGAAGGGGCTAGCTAGTATGAGTGACGGGCCCTTCATCAGCGAGGAGGAGAGTGACAGTGTACCTGATGGGCCGTACTTCCTCAAGAACCCAGCTACTCTCGTCACCGTCCGGGCAGGTCAAGCTGCTTCCCTCACCTGTATAGTTAAACAGCTGGGCAACAGACAGGTGGGTACAATGCTAGCCAGCTGTACCGAGAGACATAAAGTAACGATATTAAGCGATTGGTTAAGAGACAGAGTTATGAAGACGTGACTATAACAGTTAGATGTAGTTTTAAGCAAGAGGAACAGGTGGACAATACAAAGACAGATAAAAAACAGTTAAGAGGTTATGTCAAACAGCTCATTAAGACAGGTAGATGCAGCTGATCAAGACACAGGTAGATGCAGCTGATTAAGACACAGGTAGACGCAGCTGACCAACACACAGCGGCCAACACACAGGTAGTTAACATATCAAAATAATACCCAAGAGACAGGTAGATACAATATCAGGTAGATGACCCCGAGAAGGGTGGGTTTAACTCACTTGCCACCCATCAGTTATGCAACACGTATCTAGGAGGGGTGTTTCTGTTGAGCAGGAAACGATAGGAACATAACAAGAATCTAGTGACAGATGCCCCAGGTCCTGAAGACTCCAGCTACGATAATTTTGTTAATAAAGTCAAGCTGTAGAATTTTGTTCCCGAATTATTACTTAGAGATCACGGTAAAGGTGTAAGAGTCATTACATACTTTGCTTTCACAAATAATAAATATACTCTTCTTCCGACGAGTGAGTAAGGGAATGATCGCACTAAGCACTTGAGTGAGACAACGAGGCTTCGATATTTCATGATATTATGGATTATTTTCCAGTCCAGTTGGTCATACATGTTAACATGCCCCTTACAACCCCAGCACAGGTGTTGACGCTAACAGATGTGTCTCTGGTGTACAGGTGTCGTGGATCAGAGGTCGTGACCTACACGTGCTCAGCTCTGGTCAGGTGACCTTCTCGTCTGACTCTCGCATCAGTGTGTCGCACGTGAAGGACTCCTGGACGCTCACCATCAGGTACACTCAACCCCGCGACGCTGGCTCCTACTCCTGCCAGGTGAACACCCAGCCGCTCATCGCCTCCTGGTACAACCTTACTGTTGTAGGTCAGTCCCTGTACAACCTTACTGTTGTAGGTCAGTCCCTGTACAACCTTACTGGTGTAGGTCAGTCCCTGTACAACCCTGGTGTAGGTCAGTCCCTGTACAACCTTACTGGTGTAGGTCAGTCCCTGTACAACCTTACTGGTGTAGGTCAGTCCCTGTACAACCTTACTGGTGTAGGTCAGTCCCTGTACAACCTTACTGGTGTAGGTCAGTCCCTGTACAACCTTACTGGTGTAGGTCAGTCCCTGTACAACCTTACTGGTGTAGGTCAGTCCCTGTACAACCTTACTGGTGTAGGTCAGTCCCTGTACAACCTTACTGGTGTAGGTCAGTCCCTGTACAACCTTACTGGTGTAGGTCACCTTACTGGTGTAGGTCAGTCCCTGTACAACCTTACTGTTGTAGGTCAGGGCCTGTACAACCTTACTGTTGTAGGCCAGTCCCTGTACAACCTTACTGGTGTAGGTCAGTCCCTGTACAACCTTACTGGTGTAGGTCAGTCCCTGTACAACCTTACTGTGTAGGTACTGTTGTGGGTCAGTCCCTACAACCTTACTGGTGTGGGTCAGTCCCTGGCACAACCTTACTGGTGTGGAGTCACAGTCCCCTATACAACAACCTTACTGGTGTGGGTCAGTCCCTGTACAACTTACTGGCCCCAGCTAGGTCAGTCCTGTACAACCTTCTTACAATTCAGGTCCCGGTCCTATGTACAACCTTACTGGTGGAGTCAGTCCCTGTACAACCTTACTGATTGTGGAATCAGTCCCTGTACAACCTTACTGGGTGTAGGTCAGTCCTTACAACCTTTACTGGTGTGGGTCAGTCCCTATACAACCTTACTGGTGTGGAGTCGATCCTGTACAATATACTGGTGTAGGTCCAGTCCCTGTACAACCTTACTGGTGTGGGGAATGCAGTCCTGTACAACCTTACTGTTGTGGGTCAGGGCCTGCAACCTTACTGTTGTAAGGCCAGTCCCTGTACAACCTTACTGGTGTGGGTCAGTCCCTGCCTACAAACCTTACTGGTGTAAGGTCCAGTCCCTGCTCCTGGCTGCCAAGGTGTGGAGTCCAGTCCTGTACAACCTGCCACTGTTATGGAGTCCAGTCCCTGTACAACCTTACTGTTGTAGGTCAGTCCCTCTTCACAACCTTACTGGTGTAGGTCAGTCCCTAGCCTGCTTACCTGGTGTGGGTCAGTCCTGCACAACCCTTACTGTTATGCCGTGGGTCAGTCCTGTACAAGCTTACTGGTGTGGAATCAGTCCCTGTACAACACTTACTGGTGTGGGGTCGGAGTCCCTGTACAACCTTACTGGTGTAGGTCAGTCTAGCCACAACCTTACTGAACAGGTCAGTCCCTGTACAACCTTACTGGTGTAGGTCAGTCCCTGTACAACCTTACTGTTGTAGGTCAGTCCCTGTACAACCTTACTGGTGTAGGTCAGTCCCTTTACAACCTTACTGGTGTAGGTCAGTCCCTGTACAACCTTACTGGTGTAGGTCAGTCCCTGTACAACCTTACTGGTGTAGGTCAGTCCCTGTACAACCTTACTGGTGTAGGTCAGTCCCTGTACAACCTTACTGTTGTAGGTCAGGGCCTGTACAACCTTACTGTTGTAGGCCAGTCCCTGTACAACCTTACTGGTGTAGGTCAGTCCCTGTACAACCTTACTGGTGTAGGTCAGTCCCTGTACAACCTTACTGGTGTAGGTCAGTCCCTGTACAACCTTACTGGTGTAGGTCAGTCCCTGTACAACCTTACTGGTGTAGGTCAGTCCCTGTACAACCTTACTGTTGTAGGTCAGGGCCTGTACAACCTTACTGTTGTAGGCCAGTCCCTGTACAACCTTACTGGTGTAGGTCAGTCCCTGTACAACCTTACTGGTGTAGGTCAGTCCCTGTACAACCTTACTGGTGTAGGTCAGTCCCTGTACAACCCCTTACTGGTGTGGGTCAGTCCCTGTACAACCTGTTGTAGGTCCAGTCCTGTACAACCTTACTGGTGTGGGTCAGTCCTGTACAGCCTTATATTTGTGGGTCAGTCCCTGTACATATGCACTGTTTGTGGGGTCAGTCCCTGTACAAGCTTACTGGTCTGGGTCAGTCCTGTACAACCTTACTGGTGTGGGTCCGGTCCCTGTACAACCTTACTGGTGTGGGGTCAGTCCTGTACAACCTTACTGGTGTGGAGTCCGGTCCTGTACAACCTTACTGGTGTGGGTCAGTCCCTGCTTTGCTTACTGGTGTGGGTCGGTCCTGGCCTGTGCCTTACTGGTGTGGTCGGTCCTGTACAACCTTACTGAATGGGTCAGAGTCCCTGTACAGCATGCCCAGACCTGGGGTCAGTCCCTGCTGCAACCTTACTGGTGTAGGTCAGTCCCTGTACAGCCTTACTGGTCTGGGTCAGGGGTCCCTGTACAACCTTACTGGTCCTGGGTCAGTCCCTGTACAACCTTACTGGTGTAGGTCAGTCCCTGTACAACCTTACTGGTGTAGGTCAGTCCCTGTACAACCTTATTGGTGTAGGTCAGTCCCTGTACAACCTTACTGGTGTAGGTCAGTCCCTGTGTGTTGTCTTCCTCAATAAATCATTTCACAGTCACGTGGATGACCTAACATACGACTCCCATGTATGGTATAATATACATTAGACTCGGTGCTGTATTTACCCACCTCTCAGTATTCCTCGGCTTCCCTCTTCCCGTCATTAATGCACCACCACCTCAGTGTCATTATATATCTAATTCCCTTTATTAATAATCCCGTTTCGTCCCTATCTTGTTTACAATTATTCCTTCTCCCTCCCGTTAATGTCAGTGTCCCGTTCTCCCACTAGGAATTCTATAACACGCCTCTCGCATTCTTGTCGTCTCTAATATTTGGAGATGGCGACCTGTGGTGTAATGGTCAGCATACTCATCTTGCAAACGAGTGGACCCGGGATTGATTCGTAGGCAGGGTGAAATTATGGGCAAGTTTCTTTACGGACTATTCCTTGACACTGGGTCATGTAGCTCGTTAACTAAGGGTGTGGTTGCTGTGTTGTCGACAGGTTCTACACCTTAAACAAATTCACGCCTAGGTGACCCTTGTTAACGTTATAAGCTTTGGTCTCTTCACATGATTCACGTAATTAAAGGGGAAACTAATAAGGTGAGAACATCCTTTTCTGATGACAGTGTTTAAATATAAAACTAATATGGGTGACTAATAGTTCATCATTGAGTTAAGCAGCGGGATTAAAAGACTGTAGCAAAGGGGTTAACTCATTGTACTCAAGAGGTTGTCATCGTACTCAAGGGATCAAGATATCGTAAAAAAAAGGCGTCAAGGAAATCGAATATTTAAAAAAAAATAAAAATCAAATACTGAACCTAAGAAACACCCAAGTCACAGTAACACTAAAACGGAAAAAAAAATCGTTACTGCATCTGAGAAACACATCCACCACCTCCTAAACTGAGAAACTCTAATACTCTACCTGAGAAACATCACTAAAAACTCCATCTCTTAAACTGAGAAACTCTTATACTCCACCTGAGACTCACATCCACCACCTCCCAAAGAAGCAATTATGATTAATGTTTGGTAAAAAAGCAAGCAGTCAACCCCTGCATTTAACGGCCCCTAATATTCCCCTGACGAGATAATGTTATTGTCTGATTTTCGTGTTAAGCAAAAGACGGATTGACGGTAAGAATATCCAGGAAGGAACTAATCTCTGTTTGGGTTAGGTTAGGTTAAGACAAGTTAGGCTAAAATAGGTTATGTTGTTATGTTATGTTATACTAGGCTAGATTAAGTTAGGTTAAATTAAGTTAGGTTAAATTAAGTTAGGTTACTTTATACTAGGTTAGGTTGGGTTAGATTAAGTTAGGTTAGTTATTTAATAGGTTAAATCAGGTGGAATTTGATCAAGTAGGCCTAGGTTACGAACTGATTAAAAAAAATAGTTGAAGCCGAGTTCATCTGAGAGCGAGAATACCAGGAGATATTTAGTAGTTTCAGTGTAAGTAAGAAATTTGGTGGAAGTTTTGCGAAAGTTCTCATTGACAGAATGTATAAAAGTTTCATGAAAATCTTACATGTCTTCCAAATTTTTATGGAGGACTACCATTTTGTCTTAACATTATTATGCAAAGTCTCTTATCTGTTCAAAACTCTAATGAAGTTCTAAACACAACACTCATCATGGGAATGTGTGTCAACGCTTCAACAATTTACTGGTGCACACTGTACACCTAACTGTATACACACATTGTATATATCCGTGTCATGTTATTACACTTTTTTATATATCACCGTAATTGACTTAGCCAATATGAGTTTTTTGTACAGTACGCGTAATAATGTGTTGGCCAATAACAGTGTTTAGCGTCATATTTCAAATGTTGTATTTTATGATTGTCATGTGATTGAAGTCTGTATGTTGCCAGAATATAAATATTTGATTGTTAGCAGCTGATATGGCAGCGTTTTACGTTTATACGTGTATGTATGTGCGTGTATGTGTGTATGTATGAATGTGTGTATGTACAGTATGTGTGTGTGTGTGTATGTGTGTATGTATGTGTGTACGTGTGAGTATATGTGTACGTGTCCGTGTGTGTACAGGTATGTCTACATGTGTTTGTACGTGTACGTGCGTGCTTCAAAGTGCGCGTGTCCTATTCACGTTATCGTCACCTCCTCCACACATTTCTAATAATGGTCTTCCACACAAAGCTGTTCACTGGGACGTCAGCAAATGTATAATAGACATTGTATGATTATTTATTACATAACGAAGTTGTTGTTGTTGTACAGAGGCGCGGGCCAACATCCTGGGGAAGGAGACCATGTACGTCCAGTTTGGCAGTACTGTCACCCTCGAGTGTGTCATCAAGGAGGAGCTTGTTATCCCAGGTGAGCTCTCTTACACACACACACACACACACACACACACACACACACACACACACATTATTATTATTATTGAGAACCTTCACTATTCTCGCACCTATGTATCCATAAAATCAAGAACAGTTGTATAGTTAACACACTTCACTAACTGCTCCGCCGGTAGTGGTGGTCCCAGCCATACAAGTTAGTAACATCAGAGTTTTTAAGAAATGGATTCAGTTCAATATCTTGTTCGGTCAACACTCACATACTCCCTTGTAGATATTAATCAAGATTTCATAAACATATTACACACCTTTATTCATTGCGTAATAATTCAGAGTACTTTACTGTGCTTCCTTTAGGAAACAAGGGCCCGTGATCCACATCCTTCCCCTTATTATATATTCTTGCACCTCTCCCCTGACGGATCTCCCGTCTAACACGGAGACCATCTGCTGCACCGACTCATTCTCCTCTCTCATTAGGTGCAAGTCAGCCCCGTGACTGTTGTTGCTGCCGACACAACTATGTTCCTTTACTATTGTCTTAGTGACTAATAAAAGGGGCAACGTGGTACAGTACCAGGTGTTGTTCACCAACAGGTCTGGTACAGTACCAGGTGTTGTTCACCAACAGGTCTGGTACAGTACCAGGTGTTGTTCACCAACAGGTCTGGTACAGTACCAGGTGTTGTTCACCAACAGGTCTGGTACAGTACCAGGTGTTGTTCACCAACAGGTCTGGTACAGTACCAGGTGTTGTTCACCAACAGGTCTGGTACCAGGTGTTGTTCACCAACAGGTCTGGTACAGTACCAGGTGTTGTTCACCAACAGGTCTGGTACAGTACCAGGTGTTGTTCACCAACAGGTCTGGTACAGTACCAGTATGTTGTTCAGGTCTGGTACAGTACCAGGTGTTGTTCTCTGGTACAGTACCAGGTGTTGTTCACCAACAGGTCTGGTACAGTACCAGGTGTTGTTCACCAACAGGTCTGGTACAGTACCAGGTGTTGTTCACCAACAGGTCTGGGACAGTACCAGGTGTTGTTCACCAACAGGTCTGGTACAGTACCAGGTGTTGTTCACCAACAGGTCTGGTACAGTACCAGGTGTTGTTCACCAACAGGTCTGGTACAGTACCAGGTGTTGTTCACCAACAGGTCTGGTACAGTACCAGGTGTTGTTCACCAACAGGTCTGGTACAGTACCAGGTGTTGTTCACCAACAGGTCTGGTACAGTACCAGGTGTTGTTCACCAACAGGTCTGGTACAGTACCAGGTGTTGTTCACCAACAGGTCTGGTACAGTACCAGGTGTTGTTCACCAACAGGTCTGGTACAGTACCAGGTGTTGTTCACCAACAGGTCTGGTACAGTACCAGGTGTTGTTCACCAACAGGTCTGGTACAGTACCAGGTGTTGTTCACCAACAGGTCTGGTACAGTACCAGGTGTTGTTCACCAACAGGTCTGGTACTATGGTACCAGGATGACCGGCTGGTAGACCGAGACTCGAGGAGGGTGAAGGTGGTGACACAGGTAGCCAACGTGACCACCAGCACCCTGACGGTGACGACGGCAGCCCAGCAGGACTCCGGCAACTACTCCTGCTGGCCCTCGTCAGGACGACCCGACAGTGTCCTCGTCCACGTCATACAAGGTAAATATAACACTTACACTTGCCACGCTCTACACTGGGTAACTGCACCATACATCGTACTGTATAATAATTGTAAGTCACACCTCAATGTTATACTTAAAGGAGGCAGGTCTGGTGGTGCAGCACTACAGACTAGTAATACAGGTGTGCCCTTCACAGCTGTTCAAACATTTTATACAAAGACTATCATGCAAGGGAGTCCTGCTGCACACATGATGGGTGAACTGGACAAATTACCAGCAGTCATCAGTAACTAAACTGTACCTGTGTAGCATCTCGACTAAGACAATAAAGTTATTATAAGTGTAGCTAAAGTATGATTACACTCATAAGTGAACACTGCCACACTACACACGATATAAGTGCTGCTATTCGTTACATTACACAATCGTACTTTATTATCAGGCATTACACTGAATAAACTCCTACATTTGCTAGAGAACCAGCTCTCCCCACTGTCGTAAGATAACCCTGGATGGTTGAACCTCAACTTTCAATGAAAGAAGAGCAATAGAAGTCGCCCAAGCTGATTTGCATTTTTCTCTAACAAAGGCATTGGGCAGGGCAGACTAGTCTAAATTTCATGGTGTCTCCGGGTGCAGTAGTTTGAGTGGGATATAAACCTTTGAAATAGAATAGTCTTCCTTGCCCTGCATTTTGTGTGAGGAAATCGATGTTCTGACAAGATTTATGTAATGTTCATGTGCTTTATTCAGTGTAATGGTTATCTTCAATAGCGATCTGGGCCAGGTGAACCAGCATGAATAATTGGTTATATCAACACGAGTCTAAAGTACATGATGCTGTTTCAACGGCCATGATTTTCAGATACCGTTCCGTTCATTACTACACGACACAATAAACGTCTTATAAATAACTCTACATTGGGTGTCTCAAAAAAAGTTGTCAGTGCTTTAAGTTACAATTTTACTATGCACTGTGCTCCCTGTGTTACACCCAAGGTGTTTGAGGCCAGAGTGAGGTCGGGGAGCAGACCAGCTACTTGACTTGTAGATGAAGCCTCAGGTTGGTGCCCCCAGACTCGCAGCAGTAACCCAGGGGCGTGGGACCAAAGTCTTGCTGGTAGAATTTAGGTTTTATTGGCTGGTGGTGGAGGGACGTGTGGCTGCTGCTGTGTGGAATACTGATGTCTTCTGTGCCACATAACATAGTCTCCTCCTCTTATTTACCTTCTGGGATTTACTTATGACAGAGATGGACATCATTTTGTGGAGTAATATGTAGTTGTGGTTGACTTGGCAGGGGAGCCGCCGGCCGCCATGCAGCACGGTAACTCAGCCGCCTGGGTGTCGACACTCCTGCTGGTGCCTGCCACTCTCACCTCCCTCCTCTTCCTCCTGACGTGACACTGACTCGCCCACCACCACAACCACCAGCCTCCACAGCCTTCACTACAGGAGCGTCCTCACCTTACACCTACCAACACCATGCTCCACCGTCGCTGTTATTTGCAAAAGGTCTAAGTATGAGCCCACACAAGGCGCCACTGTACCAGAACCAAGACTACTCTATACGGAACAATTTCTTCTACATTCAGATGTTTAATAGCATTGAAAACACTAAAAATTTTAATGTGTTTTTTTTTACTCGAAATGTCAGAAAATTTGTTACTAGAAAAAATTTGATCTCCCCAAAATTAATTGATATTCTCTCATCTTTTGGTACTAAGAATGAAACCTAAAGAGTGAATCATACTGCTTTTAATTCATGTCCGGCTTGCACCCACGCGCATGGACACGCACGTAAGTTTGTGTACCTTGAGTGAAGGAAGTTTTTAAACTAACTTACGATTAGTTTTCCCGCACCTTTCAAAAATATTATGTGCTACTGCTCTAACTCTTACTGTAGTACGAGGCAGAGATTTACTTGTGTGTTCGAGATACAAAGAACACACGCATTATCTGTTTCTGTGGATATGTGATATTTACTTGGGTGTGCGAGTGTTAGCAGCAGCTTATGACAGGACTATGAACAGCACCGTCACGCCACAAGTATGATGACAAAAAACACTGCCAAAACTGATTATTGAGCAGTAAACAGTGAGGCATTAGTGTAAATCTACGTGTGTACAGCCCGGTGGTGCGTGAGTGATGACGTGAACTAGTGAGTGGATCCAGTCACCATCATCACTACCTGGTCACATTTAGTGTTAAGCTCAACCATATCAATACATTCCATCACTCAACCATATTGGTTAATGGGAAATGAAGTTAAAAGACTCGTGTTGATAATGTGAATCTTAAATTGAAAAACAAAACAAAAATAAGTACTTGGGTGTGTTTGTCACCCCGGTGTTCTAGTGCACGACACCAACATGCAGCAGCAGACAGTCACACAAGCAGGGTGAGGAGCTGAAACAAGCAAATCTAACCATTAAGTACTCGGGTGTTTATGTACGAATAATGTTTATCATCACACGACACGACCGAACAAGAGAGAGTCTTACAGGTACCGTGAGACCGAACAAGAGAGAGTCTTACAGGTACCGTGAGACTGTCTTAATCTACAGCGTCAAGCAGTGAAAATTATCTCCAACAGCGACGACTGTAACTGCCCCGAGGAGGAGGATGGTTCACAGAGTCCCAGTGACAGCCCGTGTGTCTGTTATCTCTAAGGTAATATCGCTCACCACACGGCTCTCAATTTATGACTTTGATACAAAAATTATTGTAATTTTATACAAAGCATTTTTTTTATAAACATAAATGTATGTAAAAGTATATATATATATATATATATATATATATATATATATATATATATATATATATATATATATATATATATATATATATATATATATATATATATATATATATATATATATATATATAAAGGGAGATTTTCACCAAATTAGACAAGACATCACGTCATGATGATACAAGTTTATGTACAGTGTATTGAAGTCTTTCTGTTGTGGCCTAATATCCATATTTTGAAATAAAAATTTACATTGAGGTGTTTCTTTTTAACCAAATGAGAAAACTTCCTCATAAACGTCCCTGAAAGTAGATAAGGTCATGGCCAGAGCACTATTCTTATTCTGACACCAACTTCAACCACTCTACACTTTAATATAGGTATTACAACAGCTCCATGTCACGAGGGCAGATAATTATTTATTTACGTTAAGAAGGAAAGCATTATTCATATTACTAATACTGTATAAGACGTTATAGTGAAAGTTAAAGGCGTCACACACACTTTCCTGCTATTATGTAGAGTGGCCGAGCAGGCACCGACCCCCTCGATTCTTATGATTCAGCAGCTACTGGGGTACAAAGGCAAGATGCTGGTCTGCCCAAGGGTTGTTCCACCATCAACAAACGCACCGAACAGTATATTGAGGATTACACCATGGAAAATAAGGTGAGTTATAATACCTTCTCTCACAACAGGTGAATTCATTTTTAGGTTCAACAGATTCAGTATTTTCCAGACATTGGATGAAGAAAGATACAATAGCGTTCATTGTATTAATATTCGCCCACAACAGCTCCAGACCTCCCAGCAAGACGTAAACAAACCCACAAAATACAATGTGGCAACCCCGAGCTCTCTTTACAGCCCTTCTACCTCTAAGCCCCACCCCCATACACCAACACCCCCTACCCCGACACCCCCCTACCCCCTCTACCCAACAACCCCACACCCCTACCCTAACTACCCTAACACCCCTACCCAACACCCCCCAACACCCCTACCCCATTCTAACCCCCCACCCCACACCCCCTACCCCAACACCCCTACCCCAACACCCCTGTACCCTAACACCCCTACCCCCACCCCACACCCCCAACAACCCCACCCCAACACCCCCTACCCCAACCCCTACCCCAACACCCCCCTACCCTAACACCCCCTACCCCAACACCCCCCTACCCCAACACCCCCCCCCTAACCCAACAACCTTTTGAATGTGGAAAAAAATAGAACCTCATAGGGACAGACCCAAGCACAGTGTGTAAGGAGAGACACAGCACTTTATCCCTAATGACATGATAGCTGATACACTAAAGCTGTGTCTACACTTCGCATCTAATACTTACTCAAATTTCTATGTACCAACTTAAACTATGTACTGGAAATACTCTAACACTCAATGCCATAATATCAAAATCACTGGGGTCTGATAAACACCCTCTGTGCCCTCTACTCTGTAATCTTTTTTGCGCTACAGCTTACAGGAGAAGTATGGGGTGTACAATAAACTAGATGCTGTCCGTGGCAAAAAAAAAAAGTTAATTTCTCTACCCTGTAACCCCCAGCGGCACCCAGGAGCAACTTGGTCATATCTCTCTAACAAAGACAGAGATCAAACAGAATAAAAAAGTATTGCATATGAAAGGTAATTAAAATGCAAATGACAATAATGATAAATTAGACGCACACGTATACAGAGTTTTGTATTATAGTCCAAGTGAACACCTAACGTTAGATATACCAAGACGAAAAAATGTAAATATGTTAGTAGAAAATATTTAGATGAACAATAACTAAATAAACATCTAAACGGCATAAACAAATAACCTCTGGAACAATACCTCATTAAGTGAAGCAGAAAGGTGACAAGTGATGGGACATTTTCCATCTTTTGTAAAATTAAAGACTGATGCGATAAACCCACAAGAGAAGTTGGTAAGAGGAATTATTTGCCATTAAAGAACAAAAACTGGGCGTAATTAGTGTTGTCTTCAGGGGGATGATGTCTTGTATGTGCTTTGTTTGTCGTGACATTAATGAGATGACAAACAAAACCGAATGTCAAAACAAAATCCACACACAGTTGACCTCTTGTCTTGTGTACAGGATCTGTGTTATAACTTTACTCGACACAGTTCAGTCAGAGGTATATGAACACCGCCTCTTTATATCCCTGGAACAAGAGATTGAATGGAACGTTGCCTGTGTTTAAAACGTTTAGTCTTCCTGTTTGGACACCAGCCAATGTTTGGATCTCCGGTAGCTCTCCAGGGATATGAAGCCCGGTGCTTAAATACCCCCCCGTCTTATCTGCCTAGACTACAAGCAGCGTCTAAAACCTAACCATTAGAGTGATGGATGGTGGTACACGAGGACCCCAAAACAGTCCTGTCATACTGAGGGAACACGTCCTCGGAAACTTGGGCCAACCTACACACATGGTGGAAATGAACGACGTGCAGTAAACAGACTCGACCTCGACTAATACAAAAAATATTGTCGAAGGAAAAATGATAAATAAATAATATAAACAATACTTCAGACTGTAAACAGATTTAGATATGAACAGATGTATTACTCTATTATTTAGTTGATTAGTGTATTTACTAACCTGGAATATGCACCGAGACCTTTGCTGCTATAACATTAACAAACGACACAGCTAAATAACCTCTAAGATACACTAAAGTTGTTCACTATTTAAAGGCATAAAATTATTGTCTTATTGTAAAGGGAAACGTTAACACCCGTGAACCCCAGAACCCAAACATCGTCTTCCAGTACCTTATTTAAATATTTTTTGTGAGGTATGATTAATCTGCCTCAAGTCTTCCATGTCATTGTGTTTCTTGTATGAATGATAAAATTACTTTCATATAATCCAGGAGGAGGTGAGGCAGTGCGTAAAACGTTCTTGCGCTGTACCCTGTATCATCTCAAACGCAGAAAACTTCACACACACACACATAATAATATCAAACTCGACTTCCCATCAGAACCAGACCCGCAACATCATCATAAAATACTGATGATTTGTCGACCACCATGAGGAAGAGAGAGTCAATACAAACACAACAGTCCTTAGTTACCGATCACCTCATTCTCTTGGTTATAATACAAGAATTTATCAATAAATTACTGTAACCTTAATATTTCAGCTTAAGAGAAAATTGTCTAGTTGATCCAAGTATTTCTTTAGTCTCACTGATGAAATAAAAACTGGAATCATAACTTTCGAACATAATGTGTGGAAAGATGTCGATAGTTTTAAAAGAAGTGAGAAAAAGTAAGATGCGTGTTATCATTATTTACGTTGATGATGTCAAACTATCCAAGATGGCGTTACTGGTTAGAACGATGACGACAATACCACAACACCACGCAGACTTCACCCTCCACCACTGCTAACCTGTTTAAAGTTGAATACGATCCCACTAGTTTTAAAATGATTGGCATTCATTCAAATCAACAGACGGAAACGAATATGAGTTTCTAATATTCGTCTGTATCTTGTCCCTAAAACCCCTCGCAATCTGCTAAGTCATGAAACCCTTACAGAACGAGACACAAAAATCATTCAGGAGGTAATATTCGTAAGGATTAATTGTAGTGACATGTTATCCCCGACGAGTTGAAAGGCTCACGCGTTACATCATACGTTCTCCCCAACAGCAGCTGCCTTTGTCACCTCCACTCTCCTGTGATGTATTGCGCGATTTCAGTGGATCTTCTCAAATTGATGCAGATATGATATAGCCAATAATGGAATGACTCGGAAACAAGTTATTGGACATTTTTAAACGTGAATTAATCGTATTTTAATTCTATTCTAGCATATTTTTTTTTTAGGATAAACCAAAAAATATATTAGCAGACTCATTATTCCCTCACTATATTCTTCCGTTGTACTAGATCACCAATACCCTACCACATTAACACCACCTTCACTCGTGATAAGTGATCATCTACCCTAAGATCAGCAACTTCTAACATTAAGTACAAACATGAGTATCTCTCCAACAGCACACCTTCTGCAGTATAAACCTGTCCACTCTACCGTCTTATTTCTGCAGACGGAAGAACCAGTGGCAGTCGTAGGTCACTGGTATTGGGTTTCCCCCCTCCTAAATTTATGCAATATACTTATAATTGTCGATGATAAACATATTACTAACTGAATACATAGTTCCGTACATATATTAGAAGGGTGTACTGTAATAATAGTAAGGGGAATTGATCAAGTTGCTGTAACCTGATGCCAAGAAATATTAGACAATTCCAGCAACATCGACGAGCTTCTCCTATATAAAGAGGAGGTGCTCAAAGTTCCACGAAACAAGAACCAGACGAACAACTTTTCTCTCATATTCAACAGTTTAGTTGTAATCAAAACAGTCATCCCCCGCCACTCACCCACAACCTACCCCCCTCCGGGTGTTTTCCTTCACTTAACGTCTTATCTGTTCTTAGACCTTTCTTGACTGATCTGAAAGGAGCCTAAACAAAGCAAAACAGCCACATACATGCCTCCCCTACAGCCTATAATGATAATTAATTGATATCCAATCAAATTGACCAAGGACAACTGGCCGAACCACGAGACTTGTTTCCAATAGAGTCATTATGGCAGCAACATCTGGTGTTCTTTAACTTTAAACACATTGACCAAACAGCCTAACATCACCGACAATTTGTTTACATATATTTACCACTAAATTATTCAGCATGCGCCTTGCTGCCCTGCCGTCAAAACAGATTAAAAGTTACACTAATCAACGTCTAACGCGAGGTAATACTGGTGTCAAGTGGACCAGCATGAGACAACTAAACACTGCCGCCTATCATAATAACACGAAGTTTCACACGTACCAACATCAGTTATTTACTTGCAAAACAAACAACCAAGAGAAATACAGAGTGACCATACTTGGTAGTCTGATGGTCGGTCCCTGGAGGAGCTGTAAAATCACACTTACCTGAAATGTCAAGATAAACACTATAGGTGACTTATG